GAACTGTTCTATTTGGACTGGTTCATTTAAGATCTTGAGTATATGAGAAGACTATTTCTAATTTTGAACAGGGATTGAACCAATACCAACTTGAAATCACATCCCACACTGCTGCACTTTAGTTCCAGATCAGCCCAGAACACTGAGGAAACCTAAAGACCGCAGATGAGAAAATGGGCTGGGGAGCAATGCCAAGATCAGCAAATCACCTCAATCCCCCCTGCTCTCCACCACCTGCCAGTTACAATCCTGCCTATAATTTTTAGAACACTTTTGACAGATGCAAATTTTGAGGGAATATGAACCCTGATTCAGTAAAGCATCTGGGAATGCACTCAAATTCCATTTTAGTTACTACTAATGTACATTACAGAAGCAGGTCCTTTGTATATAAGAAGGGTTTATCCCTAAGATCTTTACAATATTCTTACTTGCATTTTATATTTTATTCAATCCAATTAGACTTCAAGCAAATATTAATTAGGAAACAGTCATACAGACACAATAAACATACACTCCCTGGGGGGAAAAAGGATTTTTTAAAATAATCATATTTTGACAAATACAGATAACTCACAAAGGCTGTTTGGGATGTGAAAAATATCACACATAATGGTGTTGACAAACATAGCCTGGCTTGCCAGCACATCAGGAGACTGAAATTATTGAGTGTTTAGAATCTGGATATTATTTATGTCTTTTAATCTGCATGGCACAGAAGAAAAAACACAGAATAGATGTAGCAACATCCTTTAAATCTGAGGGATCCCTACCAAGACATCCACACCACACCACTACTTATGACTCTAAAACATAGTGCTATTTTACATGGATGTGGCCAAGTATCCCTCAGTAAAATATTCAGAGAAAAGTACCTTGTGTAATATTGGTATAATACCAAGGTAAACCAAGGTAATTTTGATTCCATGACACTGCACAATGAAAAACACTCAAAAGTTCTGTGCAACTAAAATTCTTGCTAAAAGTATTTCAACTAGCTATTTTAACTAGCTTTGAAGCTAGTTAACTAGTTTGCTGAGTACTTCTTATTATTATTTCAAAAACTAATTAAATAATACCTAATACATATTGTGTAAAAGTTCATTTGCAATCAAGTAGCAAAGACTCTTTGAATCTTATACTTTCATCTAAAATGACTGTGCTCATTTCACATCAGTAACAATTTTAAATAACAAAAAACTCTTAAAAAATGGAAGAAATATATTTCAGCGCTTGACTGTCTTATACCTCATACACAGATGATGTCATTACTCTTAAGCAGATATTCTGGCAAAATGGGACATTTTAAAGCAAAGCTATCAAGGATTTGCAAATGCCCTGCATTCCAGCAGTGATGTGTATGTCTACCCATGCACCTGCTATTAACTTTGATTTCCTATTTTCTAACATACATTTCGCTTCTAAAATAATTTATCAGGACCCAAAATTCATCTACTGATTTGCAGTTTTTATTTCCTTTTTAACCAAATTTTTCCATCTCATCTTGGGTCACAGCTTTCAGAAAAGATGTGATTCACAGCTTTACACCTCCAACACAATTTTTTCATATTGTCACATATTTAGTGAAATCTTAGAAAAATTGTAATTGTGTTTATAAGTCATTACAGTTTTTCCTGTTTGGACAGTATTTTACATGCATTATTATAATTGCACTTGTAAACAACCAGGGCCAGCACAATGTAAGAAACGAGTCTGGAAGCAGAACTGCTGGTGCCTCTTTTTCTCTGCAATGGCCTCCAAGTTACACTGATGGCTCCCTGGGCTTTTTGCCAACACCACACACCAGATTTAAATAGAAAGAAGGGAACTAGACAACCTGGGGTCCAAAATTTAATTCTGACCTTATGTATAAGCTCTATGGGAGGCGTGGGCAAAGTAGAATGCTAATCTACCATATAAGGGGGGCACCACAAGAAAACTAGAAAAAAAATGTAACCAGAAAAATGTCTTTTTTATCATGTGCACATTTTGGTATTTTGAAACCATCGATCTTGAAAAATAATCAAATCTTCATGTATAAACATTATGTTATTCTCAGAAAGTAATATTTAATGTACAGTGTTGTTACATGTTCACAGCCCACTTTCTTTCAGCATGAGATAAACTATATTTTTTATGGTTTTAACCCACTTTATTCAAACCATAGACTTTTCTGTTTCATAGACTTGTGGGTTTATGGATCTCATTAACTATGAAATATGGACAGCATATTAGAAAGTAGATGTGAAAGTGAAGGCTGAATTGCTCTCTTCATTCCATCAGAATGGGCTCTATTTATATCTCCTCTCATATTTCATATTGGAAGTTAAGTATTCTGCTAAAACATATTTGCTAATTGACTTCTTTACAGAAAGAGAAATTTTTTAAAATCAAATTAGTGTTCTTCAAAGAAATACTTACAAGAAATAAACATTTATTTCTACATTTAAATAATACTATAATGTTAAGTCCAAAATGGCAAATGAGAAAATATCTTTATAAAATTTTGCAGATGCTGACTCATTTTACCATTTTCTTTGGAAGCTAAATCTTTCTTTGTGATTTAGCTGTTTCTAAGAATTGCTTTTAACTTTTCAATGGAGAACAAAAACTACGGTAAACAGATTAAACTCTATTCCTGATTTCTTACAGTAAACTCCTTTTATTAATCAACTACATGCTAGTGTCATTCACTGCACTCAGATCCTTTGATTTTAAGCACAAATATCTAGAAAATGAAGCTGCTAAATACCTATTGAAACCTTATTCACTATTAAAATACCTCAATAACTCTATTGAGCATAACTCAAGTTTGTAAAATAATAAATACAGTAATGAGTAAAATCTGTTTAAGCTATTCTGAGATGGGATCTTGAAAATTAGATGCTTGAATGGTAATTCTCAGAAAGCTAGCTTTACTGATCATTATTCTTAGAATATTTGTATAAGATATTCTATTTTATTTAGTCCCCTGCCCTTTCAAGAGAGAATTCCCAGGACATCATTAAGTTCTCTGTTCTTGATACAGCTTGACACGACACAGATACACATACAACTGAGAAACAGCAATTTTTTTCCACAGGGAAATTCAGGTCATCAAAACACAGGAAAAGAGGTTAATTTGAAGGCAACGAGGGAAAGTTTTGAAACTCTTATTTATGTATTCACAATCTCAGAAGAGAAAGGGACCAAAATCTTTCCTCACTATTCCCTTCAGAAGGATTTATTCTGGCTCACTATTACCAAAGGCACTACTGTGAATTTTGACAGAACAAGACAAGGAACTGATCTACAAAGTGGCCTGATACAAAGAATTTCAGCTATGTTACATGGATCTTGTGTTGGTTTCTAGCACAGCAGAAGGCATTGTGGGACAGTGCATGAAGTGCTTATATAAGCAGCAGAGTGACATAGCTTTGGAAAGGAGTTGGCAACGGCATCAGAAGTCAATTCCAACAACATTCTGTCCACTTCATAAAGTGGAACATGACACAGTGTAAGACCAGCTTCACACTTCCTGCACTTCTGTGTGCGCAGCTGATCTGCCATAGGCTTTGTGGGCAAATAACAAAATCTTGTGAACAACTTTCAATCAGCACAATGCTGATAAGTAGCATACATTGATTAACGTTATGCATTTGGATGCAGATTTGTATTTCCAAAGAGCCACAACACAAATGAATCAAACGAAGGCCTCTAATTCAAGCAGAATAAACTTAGAAGCACTTTAGAAACTTGTGTAACAATCCCTGTAAATGCATCTATAAACAAGTTGTTTCAACACTTCCTTCTTGGGCTTGATTTCCCTTATGCTGCTGCTGAATGACTGCCATGCAGACTTGAAGTACTGATCCTCCCAATGCTGAGTGCTGCACTATGTGCAGTAATGTATGACAGAAATAAATCCTACACTTCTGCTGTGTTCCATACTGCCTTCATTTCATTGCTTCCTTTTTGTTACACAGTCAGCTACAAATCAAATTTATGATGACTTTGAAGAAACTTGTAGGAGCTTGGACATCATCTGCTATAAGGAATCAAATAATGGAATTGGGATCACACTGGTTTTGTTATTTTGGTACTTGTGCACTAGAAACAAATGGATAGTAACAGGAGTGTAATCCTGAGATCAACAAAAAAGTACTTCCAAAATTCTCCCATGGACTGCTCAAAGAAACAGGGAACTTACTGGAAATACAAGCAAGATTTACAGAATGAAGATATGTCAAGGTTCTAACACTTTCCCACTTACTTTTATGTAAACCCACAACTCAAATAGCAAGTGACATGTGGAGTCTGTGCTACACATTGCTAATACTTTGATTGCAATTTCAGGCTATGAAATAAAAAATGCTCTTGCATCATTTCATGCGCAGGAAGAATTTTTTTAATGGTTCTTCTGCAATAACCATCTAGGAACCTTCAATCCACATGCAGAAAGGCAGAAGATAAGAAAGGAAAAGAACAGATTTGCATGGAGTATATAAAATATTTAAAAGAACTTCCAAATAGTTACAGAACAGTGTAATCCAAATGGTTTTTGCTGCAGTGAGTCACATTAGGTAACTTTTTTCTGGTTAGGTTTATACTGTTTATATTCTCCCTCAAGCAGTAATACCAAAATTTAATACCAATACAACTCACATCCAAAACCAAAATCCTCCTCAGTAAAAAAAATGAAGCAATGTTGTATGACAGGATTCATGTTACCAATTTTTCATCAGATGGATGTTTGGAAGCTAAGGAAGGAAGAAATCTGAGAATAATTTGCTCACTCTAGGACTGCAACCACTACAAAATGTCCCTTCAATTTTAATTTTTTGTGTGATTAGCAAATATAAGTATTCACACAAAGTATAGCACACGAAAAGCCTACATATTTACCCTGACCCTTAGCTCCTGTATCTGCAAAAAAACTAATGTAGAATTATTTATCCCCAAAACATTCATCACAAGGTTTCCATGAGTATTCCATGCTACATAATTATTCCAGTGCATACCTGCAGGCCTTTCAGTTGAGCTGCTGATTTCCCTTTGAGGCAGAGAACGAGTGCCAGAAATGCATTTAAGTCCTCCAGAGAGAGGCTACTGACCTAAAACAGATGAAAAAATGACACATTATCCTAAGGTTCTGAAGAGGACCTTTCTAAAAACTGAATCCTCTTGCTCAAGCACATCAAAATTGGAACAGTGACCTCAATGATGACCACCAGGAATGCATAATCTAGGAAAACACACAGGGAACAAAATACTTTCTTTCTTACAGCTTGAAGCAAGTGCATACCCCAATGCTTGTGTATAGTGTATACACATGGATTTCCACACACCAAACAAAATACCCACCCTTCATTTTTCCCTTCTCCACTTCCTTTGGAATTTCTTAATAACAGGAAATTTCTCCCTCTCTGTTACATCAAGCATAGTTAAAAAAAAATATTTAAAAAAATCCTTTAAAATCAAGACATAGGATAAAAAATACCTCAATGAACCACAGATATGATGACCATCAGGAATTTTAAAAATTGCTTACACATTTATCTGTTAAAAATTTCAAAATATTCTAAAATATTTCAATTACCTATTTTAACCTGAATTTCATGATTTATCCAAACATATTTGACTTCTTTCAGGTTTTAAGGCTACTTAAGGAAGCAGGGAAAACTTAAAACTAAAACCTAAAATGTTCAAGTGGGGAAAAGAAAATGACAAGTCTATATTGATGTAACAGTTCACTTCTATCAGTAAAGGTGGGATGGGCACTTTTTCTGCTGTGAAAAAGTGTTCAGAGAAGTTGCAAAGACACATGATCAGCACAGAAGAAACACAGCACGTTGAGAGCAGCTAGCATCATTCCATGACACCACCAGTGGAGTTCTAATCCTTTCCTTGCTCCCATAAAACACTGTGTATTACACAAGTGCACCAAGAGCACTTATCTGTTACAGCAGCTGAGGACATGCAGAGAGCTCCAAAGTGAGATCCACAGAGCATTACAATTCCTCTTCATTTGGAACTTGAGGAAAGGTTTCTCTTGCAAAATGTGGAAATGTGCATTGTAGGTGTGCAAAACACTTAAGAGGCAGCCAGAACCTCTGCAATGCCTTTCTTTTAATAGGATAAAAATCATTCAACCACTATTTAGTTTTTTTTTTTAATCAAGCCCCATTGCTTGTCCCACAATAAAATACTTTCTCCACTATGACACTGTTAAATCTTGCATACAGCCCAAGAACTTGAAGGATATCAGAAACATTTTAAGCTTTCAAAATGCTCCTTGGTATTCATTAACTCCACTTGTCTGCTAAGATCTGATAATGGCCCTCCTTTACCCTGTAATTCAAGTCAGGTGTCACCTTTGTGTAGATGGCAACAAGAGAGGTTTACTAAACCTGCACGTTTCATGAAATAACAGAAAAAGTGAGTTTTATCTGCAAACAATTCTTAATACCTGCACAATTTTGTCCTAAGAAAAGGAAATAAAAGATTGCTTTCAGGACCATAGCAAGAAAATGCCCCTAACAGAGTAGATCAGCCAAAAATGCTTATGAATGTAAAAACACTTCTTCAGAGAAATATTTTATTCAGTGATCAAACTTGGTGAGTTATCACAGTTCCACTGTCAGATTTAATCCAAAACTGTTAGAGACTGAATGAGAAAATTCTCCTCTGTCTGGAGGCTTCACTGTTTGATTTGAATTCATTTGCCGCTTTGCTGACTTTGAAGACAGACCTAATATTTTGTAATTTTTTCACTATTTTTGTTTTTAATTTAGAGACTATTTGAAATGTACCCTTGAAAAAAACATTTTCCAAGCCAACACTCTTTTTACATAGTTAAGGTTCGTTCAATGGATTTCTTTTTCTTACTTAAAAAAATGCATCTGAAGTTTTCATTAAATACTTGCACATACATTCTGAGGAAGCCAGATGGGTTGGTTAGTATGCTGGTTCCTGCAAAACCCTCATTTTTAGCTTAGATTCAATTATAAGTAATGAAATTTTAAACAATTTTATTTTCCCTCATATGAGCTGAAGGAAGACTTCAGGCCTGCTTCAAGGCAATCTACAATTTCCTGAACTTAAATAATTTCTGAGGAAACAATTCACCTTCCTTCTCCAATAAAAATTGAAGACCAAAGTGTAAAGACAAGAGTCAGAACAGAGCTAGGCTTGTTTTCTCAGCTATAAAACAAATGGAAGCAATATGGCCAGCTCAAAGCATGGCTACTGACACTCCTGCCCTCATGTTTTCCTCTCAAACATCCCAAGAGAACAGACGATATCAGAGAAATAACCAAAGTTTAAAATAACTCAGCAGTGAAAACCATTTTACTCCAAATCAACTCCCCAGTCTGGTTCCCAGGGTAGACTGTATCAGTGCAACTCTGAGGGCAGAAGAGAATCAGGAAAATTGGGCAGTTCTTGAGAATCTGGCACTGCCATGAAAAACCTTCCATCAAACTGAGCCCTTTGCATGAGCTCTCTGCTGTTACTCCTGCTGAAACCAAGAGCTGTAAGTGTGATTTTGTCTCTGTTTATAACAGTGGCCATTGGATAATAAGTTCTGAAAACCATTTTCCTGGCAAGAATTTTTTTTCTATTTTATTAATACCCTGTGATCAAGGTTCAGTAAATCCACATCTCTGCAGGTGTTCCATCCTGTTACTCCTCTTCTTAATCCCACTAAAGAAACCCTTCTCAAATAATTTAGTTGCTATGAAAGGGTGCACAGAATAAGTCAATAAATAGTGGAACATTTATGGTGGAACTATTCCACAATAAAAAGTGGAATAGTGATAAATGAAACTGCATTTTCATATTCTAATAAGAAAAACACTTCAAGTATGTTGAAAGGTAGGTACATGATATAGATCTTGCTGATCTGAAACTGCAAGGCATGAAATGATGTTTAATAAGTATTATCTTAAAAAAAAGTCAATTTGTATTCTGTTATACAAATATTAAAGAAAAAAAAGACCCATACAGATCATTTGTGTAATTCCCATATGTGCTTCCTCAATATGTCATCTAAGTTTGAGTAAACATATGAAGGGAAATGAAAGGAAAATTCAGGGAGAACTTGTTTTCATGTATCACACAACAGTACAAATCTGTTATTGAGGAAATTGATGCCTAAAAAAGCAAAACAAAAGACAAAATGCAGTTCAGTTTAAGTACAAGTGAAACTGAGTTTATCAGATTAGATAAATGCATAATCTACTCATCCTCAGAGAGGAAAATCTGTTTGTGAGATCACCATTGGAAATGTGGCAAGTACAGACAATATATTAAATACCTGAGAGAAAAGTAAATAATGAAACAATATTGTATTTAATCTTGTGTCCCTTTTTATTACAATTAAGGTATGCAGGTATTTTTATTACAATTAAGGTATTGCAGGATGCCAAGTATTTGGAATTATAACAGAAGTGCTACCTAATGATCCCTTATTACTCAGAATTTAATGAGAAGGGCTGCGTCCTCAATTCTGGCTTGAAAATTAGTAGACTGACAAGAAGGCATGAAAAAGTAGTCAGTGAGAGCTGACTAAATATATTTATATTGTCTGTTTGCACAGTCTGCATAGTCACCTGAGGGAATGTCTCCTTTTGATGACACAAAGCAAAGACAAAAGCAGCAACTTTAATTTGCAAACAGGTCCCAAAGAGCAGGGGAAATCCCTCAGTTTATACTCTCTCTGCTAGACTGCCCGAGGGGTTTTGTCATGGGCACATGAGAGTTATGATTAGCTACTAAAAACCCCAAGTATTTCTTGAACAGGATGGTGCATGCTAAGTGGAGTAATTAAAATCACTGTAATGCAGTACTATTAAATTTGATCAGCTATGCCTACAGTAAGGATTAAGAGGAATGCCCAGCACAGGCTAGCAAAACCCACTGTATTTGTCCTTTGCACTTGTCAGGGCTGACAGCCCTGACTGAGGAAAAAGCAGCCATCCTTCTTACCTCTGTCATAAGATAGGCCAGCAAGCAGCAGAATCCTGCAACAGGTGCTTCCAGAGCTTGGAGCTCTTCCATCTCATCTTGGAGGTGAAAGCATGCCAGAAATGTGCTATACCGTTGCTTCTCCACGTCAGGCCCCTTGGCAAGCCACAGTGTTTTCAAACTAGGTGTTCCACCTACAAAAGAAATCCATTATTTTATTTTGGCAGCAACAAGATGAAACATGTCTACCTTATTACAAATCTGAAAGGAAATGACTGCTCTGGCAGGAAAGGAAATGAAATGCTCTTGGCACTTGCCAGGACCACAGAGTCAAAAATAAAATGTATTTGACAAAACTTGCATTTGAAAAAAAAAATTAACAAAAAAAATGGCCTATAATTTAAACCAAATTTATTGAATACAGGCATGTTTAAGCAGAATGGACGGAATTCAACCCTTACAATAACATAGACAACCTCGAGACAGCAAGAATTTAACCTATGCAAGGGCAAAGTTTGCCTGCAAGTGTGTTCTCTCCCTTGGCGATGCACAGCATTAATTGAGGCTCACTTCATCATGAAACTGTGATTCAGCAGAGACCCACCAGGTCTGTTTTTCTCTCTCTCTCCGCTGGAGTTAACATATCAGGGGTCCCCAAAGGATGCTCACACTGCCTCCCTCATCATCACCTGTTTCAATGACCACCTCAGCCACTCGGTGGTGAGCAGACACTCCCCACTAGGCACTGTGTGGGTCTGGCTCCTCTGCAGCACGTTCCAGTTTGGGAACAAAAACCAAGGGGATCTGGTGTTTTTCACTTCCTAAGCTGCTGTATGAAACACTGCTGCAAACACACACAAAAGATCTGTCACCAGTTATGAATAATGGATCTTTCCAGACTTTCTCTAGTATCATTCATGCTTGTCTCTAAATCCTTAATATTTACCCCATGCTGCCATCTCCCAGCTTGTGACACGTGTGGGCTAATGCAAAATTTGCGCCTCATTTAAATTACATTTCATCTGTTATCAAAATAAACACTAAGGCACGTGAAATAACAGAACAGTGAACTGGTTATGCCTGGGAATCTCAATAAAAGACAGAATCGTACCATAAAGTACGGCTGCTTCTGTAGTTAAATAAAACGAGGTGTGAATTTTAAATGTGCACTAATTAAGCTACATTTGGTAACACCTCTTCCTTTTTCATGTGACATGCAGCAGCTGCAGACCAGTTAGGAACACTTGGTGATAATAAATGGTTAAAGTGACAAGGTGCTGAAATCTACAGAGATGATGTTTATTTAGCCAGGAAAGCCCATTAACCAAATGGTACTAATCCTTTGGAGAGGGGGAAACCAGAAGAAAAGTTAGTACTCTCTTTATCTCCCTGATGGATGTTTCCTTTACTATTTTCGAGGCTAACTCACCTGTCAAAAGTTTTAACCATAAAAAGAACTACTATCAGAAAATCCATAAGCTTCTAACCTTATTTCTGAGGGAAATGTATTATTAAGAAAAAACCCCAATTGCTTGATTGGAGGTAGAAATGCGGGAAAGAGATAAAATAAATAGTGGCAGTGAGTGTGGTAGTATAGACAGCACAGTAAGATTCACATTACTGGTTTTGAGATTGGAAATTGCTGCCTTAAGAAAAAAAAAAAAAGAACAGCAGAGACTGACTTCCAGGAAGAAAATTAAATATAAAATGAATGAAACAAGAAAAAGCCAACTTCTACTACCAAGCCTAAGCAACCCTGATGTGTGAGACAAGCTGTATATGGGTAAACTCAAATTGTTTTGATGGTTTCTGCACATGAAGAGATACACCAAGAATCAGTTAAAAGAAAAGTTCTCTTTTGCATCCAGGGGCATAGCTAAAAACAGAAATCCTTCTTTCTTCAGATTAAAACCATTAACTTCGTCAATATTCAAGACTATAGATCTATATTGAGAGAGCTCAACAAAAAATTCAAGACATCTCTTCCATAAACAGTTTCTTCCACTTTCAGAAACATTTACTTGTGCCTGGGAAAAAAGGGTACAGATAAATTATGAACTATTTACTCTGGGAAAGAAAACCTGATGCTGTCTCCTTAAGGAACACACCAACAAAAGGCACTTTTTTTCTGAAGGGTTCTCTTCTTCAAGTAATAAAATTCCATCTAATACCCAAGACTAATCTATTAAATCAAATGAAAGATAAGTAAAACAAAGAAACAAATATCCTAAAGTTTAATGACTGTTCCACCATAAATGCAGTACACAGCACATCTAAGATTCATCTACAGCAGACCCTCAAAATGTTCTCTGCTTTACATACATCCTCACTACATTATTTACAATAATTAGAAAACATTTCTGAAATAGAAATGTACTTGGAGAGGCAGGATAAATATTTCATTTTCTGAACATGTCTATACATTTCCTAAATTAACCTGAAAAACAACCAAAACTGAGTAACAAAAGGAAAACACCCCAAAAGATATTTCTATCTACCTAATTGAAACACCTTTACCATAAAGACTAGTAATGACAGAATTACCTGTTGAGGTTGTAGGAACCACAATTTCCCATTAATTACACAAACATATGCAAACATAATTACTCTCAACAAGCACAAAATTGTGTGAAAACCATATTCAGTTCACTGTGTGAACTGCAGTCCTCAGGAACCTCAAGAAGAGGAGCTTTAAAAAGACCTCCATGGAGGTGAGATATTACTTGCCTAAACACAAAAACTGACAACCCATCAATTAAATAAAAAATAACAGGGACAAATCACTTTTTACCTTTTCCTTTATATTCACACATTTAATACCATTATCATATAGAAAGCAGCATGAGAAACAAAAACACTTAAAGAGACTACATAAACATTTATTTAATCTGTCTGAATTTCAGGAATTGATTTACTGATATGCAATACATGCAAAAGTTGTGGAATGCATTAATTCTATTATGTCATTTAAATCAACACCTAAAGGTGATCCTCACACTTAAGTTGTAGCAAATTAAGTTGTAGCAACTTAAAACACATCATTACTGTGTACATAGATGTTTAATAGTAAACGTTCATGTATATTTGAAGTAATGACTATTGAAATTTTATTTTATAACACCACTAATAGAACATTAATACTTCTTCATTTTACATGCTCAAGTAAATACCAAGCAATAAAAATAAGTTTATAAAAATGTACTTGCTAGGAACACTCAACAGCACCTTCTCAACAACCGTGGCCAAAAAACTCAAATGCCAATTAAATCTGACCATTAAAGACAGAGACAGCTTTTTGAACTTAAACATATTCTTGACACATCCATGAAGGATGCAATGATTAGAATACTGAAAGTACATCTAAACTCTCTAGTATGAAGCTACAATATCCTATGCATGTCAGAAATAAAATGAACAGCAGAATAAATACATTTCCAACAAAGACTTTAGAACTTTTTCTGTTCCACATAAACTGCAGACATATCAAATATAGCTGCTATGTTCACAAGATATGGATGTGAAACAGTATTTTCCTAGATCATGGATCTTATAACAAAATTGATTTGCCAGTGACACTTTCTATCAATGTAAGTGCTGCTCTGTCAATGAGTGTAAATCATGATCATATTCATTCAAATGAAAAGAAACATTCTAGAAGGAAGAAAAGACACAGACTATGCAAGAAAGCACAGATGCTAATTCAGAAGACCGTTTCTCAAAAATAAAAAATCTAGTTAATACATACTATATTTTAAATATATTTTAAGTTATCATCTTACTTACCATCCTGCCTTTAGGATTTGATATTTCATTTTTTAAAAAAGCTAATATTCAGTCTATCACCTGCAACCTTTCCAGATGCAAGGCACTTCTGCTGTTTTATACACACACAACGTTAGTAGGAATTCTACTTTTTTCTAAGATTGATGCAAAATTTAAAGTATTAATCATTGTGTACACTACAGTTTAAAGTTCACAGTTTCTTTAGACTTTTTAATCTAAATTAAACTGGAAGAGAGTCAGGATTTTCCATATATTCTCAGTACAGCTCTAAGGTAGTTTTGATGATCAGGTTATCAGCTCTTAAAAAAATATAGAGCCTTCCTAAATTAATTGCACACTTGATGATTCAAATAGGTTTTTGCTAAAATTATTTTTTATCTTTTTGAGTAACCTGATCTTGATTGACAGCCTTGAACTCTAACTTCCTAAAACAACTTTAAATTTAGCTCTAAATATGATCCCTGTCTGAAAAATGTGATGTGCTGTTGAGAACCTTATTTGGTGAATTAGAGAATCATGCTGTGGAAAATCAAAGACGCATGAGCGAATGTAAGGCATACAAATATGGACTGCAAAAATTTTAGAAAAATATTTGTCTGCTGAAGGAATGACAACAGAGCACTAAAAATAAACACTAAAAATCCTCCTCCCATTTTTTAATAGTCTGCTTGAACAGCCTTTCATTACTGAGTTAGTAAAGATTGTATCTGAGAAGATTCTGGTTTTATAAACTCCACTTATGTGGTTGCTATAAACAAACACACTTAAAATCCTGTTTATTGTCAACACGAAGGTGGGTTCTATGTGTTGTATGTTTGCAGAGCTATAGAACCAGAGTACATGAGATTAAGTGCATTCTCCAGAAAGGGAGGAAGGAAGTATACTATCTGGGATGGAAAATTCCACAACAATAAATATAGTATATTTGCTAGACAATTTGAAATGTAACTACAGGTATGGTTTATACTTTTAGTTTTGTTTCCTTGTTTAGCAGCATGTTCCCAGTCCACTGTATGCTGAAATAAAACATTTGCACAGCACCAACTGATGAATTTTCAATCTGCATATTCATATTCCATTTGAAAAATTTCACAGCAATTTCTTGCTATCACAAAGCCAATTAGATAATCACTCTCCTAATATTGTGTCAGGGATACTGGACAGTGAAAGCACTGTATATCAAACAAAAACTCTTTTGTACTTTGTCTATATAACCAATTTCTTTCTGAACAGTCCTTTAAAAAGGATTTTGAAAAGGTTGATATCTAAAAAGCGACTGATTTTCCTTCATCTTTGATTTCAAAGACTCTCATTAAATATATGAGTTTCAAATATGAAGATAAATATTCAATCTTTGGATACTGAAAAATAATATTTACTATAAATTTACAAAGATGTGCCTGCATTTCAGCTTCTGAATTTGGATTTGGACCAGATCAGCACAAAGACTGCTACAGAAGGATGTAGGATGCCCAAGGAAGATGCACTGGTAATTACTCTCCAAAAGCTGAGTAACTTTTGGATAGTAACTAGATAATAACTTTTCTTAACAAAATATCAATGCTATTGTATATCACTGGGAGAAATACATTTCATGTGAAAGAATAGAAAAATCCCTGAGCTGCTGATCCATTTGCCAACAGATGACAGAGAGAGAGAGAGCTGAGAGATCAAGGATGACTACAACTGCCTGAACAAATGAAAATTTAAAACAATTTTCCCTTTGAGATAGTAAAATTGTTTACTTCCCATCCTAAACTTGTATTGAATGATACAATTGTGTATATATATATATGTATATATACAATTATATATATACAGTGCTCAATCTTTTCACTAAAATGTATGATACTTCCTCATAAATTTAACACATTTCTCATAACTCCAATTTCACTAAGAGTGTTCATTAATGTGTTTTTTTACCAAAGGGAAGAAGATAAAACCACACAATATACTTAAGAGAGCAGAAACACCTTCACAGAAACAGCCCAATTTTTTTTAATTAAAAGCTGGACTCTCTCTCTGGGTTGTCAGAGATGATATGACTCCTTTTTACATTCTCCACTGTTCTCATTAACACAGTCTGTCAAACAGCTTAATGGACGAGTTTTAACATGGCCCCACACACCACTTATCCTCAGAGCAGTCTTTAGAACTTCTAAGAAATTGTCCGCATTTTAGAACTGATGTTTGAATTAGCACTGGGTTTAACAAGACAAAACATCAGCAAAAACATCTCAAAGCTGAATCCTATTATAATTACAAAGGGTAATTAAAAGCAACTACAAGAGTGGAGCTCTTTAGCTCCTTGTTCTCCACATTCATCCTGGATTCTGTATCAAACATATGATGGATTGTCCAACCTCACTTTAGTGAAGTGGTTCTTTCAGTTTAGATTAATACACATTTTTATTCTACCTGTAACAGAAGGTTGTACAGGTTGGATCAGGTCTGGCTGCTTGAGAGGATTTCCAGAACAGACAAACCACTCTTTAACCAAAGGACAGGTTCCACCTAAAAAAGACAGAATTGGATCAGTAAGGCAAATGCAAGTATTGACACTACTGTAACAGCTGGGTTAAGCTGTGATCAGGATTCCAAATAGAAGGCACTTCTTGATGACTTGTTTGCTCAGCTTCAGAAACAAACCAAGAAAAAATTGTTTCAGTATCTTTATGACAAATCATCAGAACAAACAGAGTTTCAATTATGTACTATAAACATGAGTTTGGACTGGGGAACTGCAATCAAAACTGTAAATACAAGAGTCTGTGGAAAACATTCTGAAACAGGCCTAGGCTTTCCCAGCCCAAGGCAGCTCAGGAAGCTCTGGAGGCATGTGGCATAGCTCAGGGACCTGCAGGAGCAACCTCAGTCTCTCAGCACTGTTACACTGCCACATATCCAGGCAGAGCTTAATATGATACACCTTCCAACTTGCCCTGACGTTTCTTGTGTCAGGGTTTGAGCCAAAATCTTAATAGGGAGGCCTTGATGGCTATTTGAAAGCAATGGAGTCATCCCACCATCAGATGCAGAGCTTTTACAGCCCATTGTTCTAGACCTTTTATCAAGCATAAAGGAATTGTTTATACATAATACTTCAAGTGGCTTTCCCAGTTCCTAACCTGAACCCTGCTCAGCCCCTCTAAAGATGGCTCTTAAATTACAAACTTGACTTCAGGAATTGTGCATCTAACTACGTGATGCTTAAAGAAACCCAAACAAACCAACCTACAGGAAAAAAAAAATCATGCATTTGAGAATTTTTGAAATGCATACTATCCAATTTACAAAAACCAGCTCAAAATCATTCAAGAGCAAGTCTTCATTAAAAAAAAAAAAGCAAAAAACAAACAAACATAGAATCAGTGCTACTATCAATGTATTCTGTCCAGATTTTGGTTATGGTACCCATGTCATAGTGCCCTAAATTTCCTGTCTGTAGTCTGGTAAACAGTATGAATTACAGAGATTTAGCTAGTCCTGGGCGCTTGGAGTAGAGTTTTCAAATATTTCCTTTTTTTCCCTACCTTGTCCCTTTCCAGATTCACAGGATTGCATCTCTAATTTCTTCCAGCTCTCAAGCAATACTGAAGCCATTACCCTTTAAAAATACTACCTTTTAGCACCAATTCCAAACTCCCTAAAATTTACTGCACAAGTATTTTTGATGCCATGTGAATCCTAACCAAAACTTCCTCTAGATTAAACCAAACCTTTAGATTAAAACAAACTTTTCCAACACTGTCCTTTCCTTGTCTACCCAAAAAGGTTTTCTCACACAATTTCTTGATCTCACTTATAGCTCAATGCTGGAGATAACTGTTGACATGAATGAAAAAGTAGTGTGCTAGGGTGCAAGGGCAGGAATTCCTCAGATTAATTTCTAATGTCAGGGGTGAGAGAAGGGGAAAAGAACACTACAAAATCTGTTTTACAACCCTGCTTCATCATTCCTTCCTTCCCTCCCCATGGACCTGCAGCACAAACTCCCAATAAAGGTGAGGGACTGAAGAACCAACACATGGAGTATGAGGGACTGTGTTACACATGACTTGTCATGCTTATCTATTCAAAAACCAATGACATTAAAAATAAAATTTAAAATGCCTACAGTACAGGGGGGAAAAGCCTTAAACTGTACATTCCAATAGCTGAATAATCTCACATCTTGATTATAAATCATGGTCTCTAATAACATTATTTCATGAACAAACCCCTTCCATCAAATAACCCAAAGTCACTTTCAGAAACATTCTGATGTTTTAACATTCAGTTTTAAGATTTAGTGTGTGGATTAGTCTGCTTTGTTCAATTTATTCAGTTCACTCAGATTCCTAAATTTTAGCCTGGTTTCTTAAGGAGGCAAACCTAATGCAATTAGGACATCTGTCTTATAATTAATTCATGGATGCACTGGTCTCCTTCAACTAAATCTGCCAAGGGAGACGTGATTTCAAATGGATTTCAAAAGTCCTAAACATTTTGTGAAACTGAAGACTCAGCTGACAGAGGGTTTCTATTAGGGCACCAATTGAAAGAAAGGCAGGAAAGCCAACTTACCTGTTGTATCCAAACAGACTGAATGGCAAATTAATACACAAATATCTGTAGAAGAGCTAGAGGTGAGAGAAAAGCTAGATGGGATTTAGGAAGAGCAGGAAACCATAGGGAACATGTTTAGGAATACCATATACTGCAGGAGGGCATTGTCAAGGACATGAGGAGAAGTTAAGATGGTATAAAGAAACATGGAAATAGAATAACTTCGCTGGTGAGGAGCATTGCTCTTTATGAGTTCCACAAGTCGCATAAATACATATCAAAATGTGTCTTGATCCTAAATACCAGTGAGAGATTATTTTTGACATCAACCATTGAACTCATGCCCAGTAAAAAGGGAAGCTGAAGGAAAGTCTACAGTTTCATTCTTTACATGTTTGTGAGTGTAGGTACAGGACATAGTCCCACATCAGCTGAGTGCTTTTCATTACTATAGCCCATTAGTAACAAACATAAATCACTGTTCACATAAATAGCCAAATAAAATTAGCTGAAAGCAAGGTCCTGCAAACTGACAGCCTATGAACATACCAAGAACAAAGCGGAGATATGATTTCTAAATGTCAACCCTCTCTGCATGGAAATGTCTTGGGGAAAAGAAACCCCAACTTTTTCCCCATAATGCATATAAAGAATATCACCAATTAAATAATAAAAAAAAGCAGTTCCTTTGTTTAAATAGATTCTGAATGACCTGTGAAAACACAGCTTAGGCAGCCTAAGGAAGCTTCAACTATTTGCAAACCACGAGAGAGCTGGAAAATGCTGTTATGTGTGTTCCTCTACACCTGCAACAGCCCCAGCTCTCCTGAGCAGTCACTGGTGATAACTGGCAAAAATTCTGCTACGGGACTGGTTTTGACAGTGTCAAAGCAAGAATCAGTCTGGCCTGCTAATGTAAGAACTGGGAGTGATGCCAGGACTTCGAGGAGCTGGCCACGGGCTCAGGCTACATTACATAACCTCCTAATTGGCAATGGACATGCAGGTGCAGGTATTTTCATGGACTGTGTTAGTGCCAAAACCTGCTGGCTTTGTTCTGAACCTTTTGCACACATAAGCTTGGCTGGCCTATCAGGGTGTATTATTTACTGTTATTTCCCCCTCCTACTTGAATTTTTCCAAAAGTACTTTTTCTCAGAAAGATGCTAAAGTGTTGACAATTTCTATCACTGTATGCAATATTTCACATACTGATCAGAATGGCTCAGTTAATTATAAGCGCACTTTTGAAATACAGAGACAACAAATGCCATGTTGTCAGAATCAGCCCCCTAATTATTTCTGTAGGGTCAAAAATAAGGCTGTGATTCTCCAACATTTCCATGAGTAAAGGTACAGGCACCACACACCAAACTATACCAAAGGCAATGTTATATAAGCAATTGTTTCAGCAGCTCTGCTATCTTTTACAGGCAGGCACTGATTTGCTCATTCCCACTCCCTGCCATTCCCTCGGGGTGTTTCAGCACAGCTGCTTGTGGCTACTCAGAGCCAGATGGGGAAACAGACAGGTTAGTTACCTGACTACAAAAAAAGGCAGGGAAGAGAAAAAGAGGCTATTTTCAGTTTCTCAAACTAGGCTACTGTACAGCTGCACAAACAGCTGCAACAGGTACAACTGAGATGATGTGCAAGGATTGAAATGAGTGGCTGTGCAAGAAAATTTTTTAAAGTAGCACTGATAGGAAAAGCAATGCATCCCACTATGGCTTCAGGCAAAGTGGCATGGTAAGGGCCAATGGCTTCAAGGGATATGACATTCTGCTCCTATGGATTTGTGGGTCTCCTAAGCACCCTTAAAAATCACAATCTCGACATTCAGAACTAACAGTCTCTTGTTTCAGAGTAGGGCAAACAGTTTACATTAGCTTTAACCTGCTCTTACTAAGACTGTAACCACTGCTTTTACTAACTTTTGGCTGCTTTGCCAATTAACAGTAAGTAAGCAGATCTGCAAACTGCAAAGAGGTCAGTTTCCACCATATTTTAATTGATAATATTAAGGAGTAAGAAAGAGGATTAACTAACACATGACCACTGCAAACTGGAACAAACATTGTGTAGAGTAAGTCAAGTTAGCTTCAAATGTGCTACATCAGCAGCTGTATATGGTGGCAGACTCCACATGGACTAATTTAATTTGCTGTCTTATTCCAGCAAACTCTTTTACAATGCTAACCCAATGTCATTCTACATTATACTACAACCTACAGACAGTGTAGACTAGTTCTTCCCATCCTATCCCTTATCAAATTACAAAAACCAATCAACTTGATCTCATCTGAGGGAAACTGGCAAAGGATTCTACTTTCTTTGTAAAGAACAAAGTTTTGTAGGTCTAGCAGTGAATCCATAAAACCTAACACTTACACATACCCTTGACTTAGAAGCAACTATATACTGGAATAAAAAAACAACTCATGAACTACTAGGAAGTGACATGGTTAAAGCAGTTAGAGGTAGACACATGCATTGAAAATGCAGATTTAATAGAGGCACCCATGCAGACACAATCTACCTACCTTTCTGGAAGGGTTAAGGACTGACTTTCTAAATTATGACTTAGTTGAGAAAATTATCACTAGAATTGGAAGCCTGTAGTGAGTATAAACAACCCATGCTGTCATTTTATTCTAAAATCACTTCTTTAAAAGAAGACAACTCTCCCATTAAAATTTCATTTTCAATATGACTCTAAATAAACATTTCTGTATTTCAATTCTAATCTTCTCTAAGTACTAAACCCACTGTAACACAAATGCTAACCTGCCTACTACCCTGCCATCCTGCAGCAACAACTGTTAATTAGGAATTTTGGCCTGGGTGTTTCTGAAAACATCAATGAATATCCTGCTGTTTAGATGAATAAGTAAAACCCAACCAAGTTATAATTATATACAAAATTTGGAGGCAGTACACCAAAAAATGAAAAATGACAGATGTGCATGATTACTGCTGGGATTTTTGTTATTCTCTTTAAATTGCTATGTAAACTCTGATTCAGTTTTTCCTATTATGGCACAACTTCAACCTCTGGCTGCTGAGTGAAATCATGTACTTAATTACCTTTTTGTGCCTTTCTAAGCAAACAGTTTAATATTAGGTTTGATGGCGGTGTACTTTCATCAATAAAATGTAAAGCGATTACCACGGAGAAATCAACACATTCAAAAGAATAAAGCTCAGTACACTTTTAATTTTCAACTCACTGGCTGAAAGACACTGTAAAGATAACACTTAACTAATGGAAGTCTTAAGAACATGAAATTGGTGCAAGGATATGAATAAAGACCTCTCTGTCTTCAAGGAGAAGAATGCAAGGACAGATGTAAGTACCTGCTACCGAATCTGTTTATACCACTGGATAAGGAAATCATATTTTCTAGAACTTGGATGAAAGAACTAATAATAGCTGGCATGACTACTTGCATTTGTATTATTACAGTAACTGTATTTGACTGCTCTGAAAATTGCAGACTTAAAATCAACAGAAGGTAAAACTTTAACAGTGAATTATTCTGTAAAAGTGTATTGCAACTCACTAATTCATCCAGAGCCACACTTACCCAAGAACATTAGGTTTCATATACCTTCAAACTTTCAAAAATCTCATAAAGACCATTGCTTTGCTCAATTTTTTGATCATTAACAACTTTCACAACTTCCCATTTAGCAAGGAAAAAAGCTCCAATTTTTAAAAATCACTTTAAAAGCACTGAAATGGAACAGCATGTAGAAAAACCCTCACAATTTCACATTTTCTCTTACTTCCATAAGAATTACATTTCAGCTGTTCGGAGTTTTTATCCTAAATGCATTTTCTATCCTAAATGCTGATAAAGCCACTGAAGCAATGAATTCAAGATTTCATATTTCAAAATTGAAACTACAGTGGTGTAAGTGGTTTAATCCTTACCTTTTCCAGACTCCAGCAAGATAGAATAAATATGCTGACGAGCAGGGCGGTAGATAAGTGCCTGTCCAGGAATCTCTCTATCAAAGTCATCTTCCAAGGAGTTGCTGCAGTCAATCTCTCCATGACTCAGGATATTGAAGATTGAATAATTTTCAGATTGGATATGCTGTTCTTTAGCCAACTGTTAGTTCAAAGAAGGAAGAAGGTATTATCTCCAAAGTTAAGAATAATCAAAAAGTAACAACATGTGTTCACTGTTTGAGGAAATAGGTATTTCTCTATCAGTAGAAATGGAGGGAATAGCCAGGGAGGGAACAAGTGCTTTTTCAAATAACACCAATATAATTTATTTTCATCTTTTTGTGGAGAGGAATCCCGAGGAAAACTGTCATTACCTTTCTAACCCCTCCTTTAATTCTAAAAATTTAAAAGCTTGAACAACAGTTTTCTAGAAAGTAATTATTCTTAAAATTAATTCTGAATTCTAGCATAGCTGCTCTCCTTTGGTCACCTGAAAATGTATCTTCCTTCTTAAAACAGTGAGTGAAGGCATAACAAAAAGCAAACTTTCCATTTTATCACAAGATTAACTATATAAGACAGCTGCATTTCTTTCTGACCTGACTTGGTGTAGTTTACATTCTGGTAAAATTAGAATACCTAATTTCACCATACTTTTACTTTGCAATAGCTCTCGACTGTGAAAAGAAATGCCATGTACTCTAGTGAGGAAAACCAGGTCTGCAGGCATGTTGCTGAAAAGCAGAATTAACAGCATCACCCAGGCTGCACATTAACCATGACTGGATGCAGACACATCTGGCTACAGCAGCTGGCTACAGGCAGCCTCAGTACCAGCAGGGTCTGCTGGTCTGGAACAGCCTAGGTGACAAAGAAACAAAGATGCTCTCAGCATCATTCTGTGCTCATCAGCACAGAATTCCAACCAGTAACACTGGCAATCTGGATTGGTCAAGTGCACAGACAGACAGACTTTCTACTGCACAACGCCAGACCAAAACTTGGGGTGTTTAAACAGCTGAGCAGAGTGAGTATTTCCATGGGGTGCCACTAACAAATTCTCCAGGACGTGTGCCATACACTGAGCAGGCATTGATGTTTCTCTGCTCTACATTCCCTGCATGTGTTGTGCCAGTTGTACTGTGTGGGTTGTGCCATCCAGCTGAAGCTACCACAGATTCTTTCACCAGGAGTTACTGGACCACTGGCCAGAAACAAATTCATTTCTGCAGAATTCCAGTATCTGCAAACCTGGGAACTCAGCAGGTCAAAGCTGAAGTCATTCACTGGGTAATTAGTGATCAAAAATAATTCTACTAAAATGTCATATTTTCTGTGTACAGTGCCAATCAAAAGAGCGCTAATACAATAAATTAAAGGTTTCCCTGCCAGAAATACTTCAATATTCCTAATATGTGTAAACAATGTAATCCTATCAAGTATACTTTTGTATAAAATAAAAAGAGAGCATCAGGTATTTCTAAGCATGATTTTAATGAAGCACTGAACTATTGCACAGAAACCAGATGAGACCATCAACAACACTAGCTTATTGCAATTTGCCAATAAGCTACATATCCTTATGTGCTGAAAAAACTGCAAGATGATTTCAAAAGTACTGCTGTATTCAATGTCTTTATCTTGAAAAATATTTCTGATTCATACCTACAATCAGCTAGAAAGTTATGCTTTTCTGAGAGAAACAGCAACATGAGGCTGTGCCCTCATGGTGGGAATGGAGCTTTGTGTGCCATTTACGTGAAGCTCAGACAATGTGCAAGGTAAGCAGAACTACATATGGGCTCCAAAATATGAAGCAAAGCACACACATTACATATACAAATATTTGAACACTTGTAACAAAAACAAAAGAGTTTTACAAAAAGTTAACATGTCTAACATTTTGACTGTAATTTCCTTGGCCCAGGGATTGGCTTCATGTAGGATTCATGCAGCAACAGGGAAGCATTCTTCAATGGAGTTTCTAAACATTATTATTTTATTAGAGCAGTAGCTCAGCATGATGCTTCAGAACTTCAACCCTTCAAATTAAAGACCAAGCCAAGAAATAATGACCATTTGTCATAAAGACCACATGGTACATTCTCTTAAGGAATAAGGATATTGCCACTATTGTCCTGGCCATAAGCCAGCCTAGATAATTGCATTCTGGCTGTTTATTCCTTGCACTTCAAGCAGAAAGAGATTTTTCAACACCTTATTATGATGTATGGCTGCCGATTTTTTAAAATATCTTCTATTTAACTACAACAGAAAAAAGCGATATGTACTGTAGCTATGTGTGGTGAATATAACAACCCAAATATATCTACAGTTTAGCTGAAATGAGCACTGCATTACAATGCAGTTATAAAATGTTTTATAGTCTTTTTAGAAAGCAAAATGTAAATTATATTGTTACTTTACAGTAACATGAGGAAACAAAAATAGTTTTAAAGAAAATGCTCAAGATAAGCAAGAGAAAGAAAAAAAACTTCTGTGTTTGAAGTCTACAAGGACCTAATAAAATAGGGAGTAACAGATGGCTAATATAGGGTCTAAAATACACTTCCTTGTATAGATTTTTTAAAAAATCTCAATATGTTATCTTAATTGCCACGAATTGACAGAATTGTACTCTAGACTTACTGTTGTACCATAAATTCTGATGCAAGGTAGCACATTTTCTATTAGCCAGGTACACCACCCTAAGCTAATATATCCAATTTCCCAGAGTGACTCAATCTGCCATACCGTATCTTACCCCCACATCAGTGCATCCCTGTCTATGTGGGATGCCATAACTAAAACTTGCTACTGCACCCCTGCCCTTTGGGAATTAATAAACACATTGAAGTGCTTTTGGGTCATTCAGGGACAAGGAAAACAAGGAGAATTTAACCTGAACCAAAAATACAGACTTATTGCATTTGACACTGTCCTGTACAACATCCTTGTCCCTGAACTGGAGAAGCATGGATTTCACAGATGGGCCTCTTGGTAGATGAGGAACTGGTTGGATGGTCGCACTGAAAGAGCTGTGGCCAATGGCTTGATGTGCAAGGGGAGGCCAGTGCCAAGCGGTGTCCTCAGGGGTCACACTGGGACCAGCACAGTTTAACATCTTTGCCAGGAACATGGACAGTGAGATCAAGTGCTCCCTTGGCAAGGTGACACCAGGCCGTGTGGTGCCATCCACATGCAGGAGCAAAAGGATCCACCCAGAGGAACCTGGACAGGTGGGCCTGTGCAAACCTCAGCAACTTCAACAGGGCTGAGTACAAGATCCTGCACTTGGGTCGGAGCATTCCTGACCACAAATACTGGCTGGATGGAGAATGGATTGAGAGCAGCTCTAAGAAGGGCTTTAGGGTGTTGCTGAGTAAGCAGCTTGACCTGTGAGCTTGATCAGCAATGTGTGCTCACAGCCCAGAGAGCCAGCTGAACCCTGGGCTGCATCCAAGGCAGCGTGACCAGCAGGGCAAGGAATGGGATTCTCCCTGTCTGCTCTGCTCTGGTGACACCCTACCTGGAGTGCTGTGCCCAGCTCTGACATCCCCAGCACAGGAAGGACTTTGACCTGTTGGAATGAGTCCAGAGGGCTGCAAACGTGATCAGAAGGCTGGAATATGTCTGCTATGAGGACAGGCTGAGAGAGCTGGAGTTGTGTAACTGGAGAAGACAAGGCTCTGGAGACACCTTAGAGCTGCCTTCAAATACCTAAAGGGGGCTACAAAAGAGCTGGAGAGGGACTTTTCACAAGGGTGTGAAGTGACAGGACGAGGGGCAATGGATTTAAACCAACAGAAAGTAGGTTTAGATTAGATATTAAGAAGAAGCCCTTTGCTGTGAAGGTGGTGAGGCACTAGACCAGGTTGGCAAGAGAAGTATTAAAGGCCAGGTTGGATGGGGCTCTGAGTAACCTGGTCTAATGGAAGTCTCTCTGCTCAGGGCAGGGGTTTGGAACTAGGTTATCTTTAGTCCCAACCCCAACCATTCTATAACTCTACGACATGATTCTGCAGGAGTTTCCACGTCTCCACCACAAGCAATTTCAACTTCTAGCATTCTTAGCACAGCTACCTTTGATACCTCCACTGCAAGGCACAACCAAGCCCATCACTGACCAGCTTATGGCTGACCTGTGGGCTCTCAAAGTAAAAACCAAGTCAATACACAAATTATATTAACATGGGAAATCATATAATACATGGGAAGTACGTTTCTGTGTCCAGGTGCTGGCCTAGACAGGAGCTGCTCCCCATTATGTGACCTAGCTGCCATTCCAAAATGAGAGAAACTACATTTTATTAAATGTGCTGCATCTGTGATCATATTAATGCATGCAATAATCATAACTGGAGCTCTACTTAACAGACAAAAGATTCCTGCACAAGCAAATTGAAATCTATAGGATTGATGTACCCATTACTAACTTCCATTAACTAGTCATGGCAATGAAGTGATCATTAAGGTTTAAAAAATAAGTTACCTGAAAGATTTCTTTATCTTGACAGAGGGGTGATTGTTGTTGAAGGGATAACATTTGACAAATTGTTTCATTGTAAGGAACCCATGGAGACTTCTGCCCAGGCAAAAGGTAGGAACTCACTCCTCTGCAGAGCAATGTCTTGTCTGATCCCAGAGGTAGAATCTCTTCCAACTTTTTCAGGCTGCTGTAAGAGCATGGAATTTTTGAGATGTAATCTGCTACAGACATCAGTATGTCTGCTCTTCTGCTGTAGCTGCAGCTCCTGTGGGAACTCTTGGTTAAACATTTGTTCCAAAATCCTTCCAACATGCTTTCTGGAACAATATCATTGCCAAGCAAGCACGCAAAGAGAGGAAGGTGTGCCAAACTAATACCCAGCACACGGCAAAGGACTTCTCGAGAGTACATAACAGTGACCAGTCTGTCCAAATGCAGGTTCTCAATGGAAAAGTAGGGACATGTGTCATAGATGAGGTAGTCACTATCTTGCCCCAGAATTCCTATACATTTGTGCTGCAAACCATATGCAGCCACCTCAAAGTCTGCCTCTTGCAACGTGCAGACTGTTTTTTGACCGAGTGATTTCAGGGCATAACGGGTAAAAGTAGGCAGAGCTGAAGGAAGAACAAACATTTCTCTCCCTGGCTGTATCCTGTTAGTCTTGATAAACTGAAATAATCTGGCTATTTCCTCAGTATTCTTCATCCTCCGTTTGATCCACTCATCTCTCTTTTTCTCTTCTACCACCCCGTCGAAGTAGAACACCAACTTGATACCAGCTGCCGTAAAAGCATTGATAAAATCCTCTAAAGCAGCAAGGTACTCTCGCCACTGGCCACCGCACACCCAGGATTCTGGAGTGTACCAGTGTCTAACACAGCTCATGGCATCTACCACGATAACAGGAGGGCAGTCAGGATGATCAATGCGATGCTTTTCTGCCATTTGTCTCAGATCTACCGTTTGGCACGCATGTGAGCATACTCTTGCCACAAATCCCTGCAAGCCTCTAACACCCATGGCTGATCTCCAAAACTCACAGCGGTCTGAAAGAAGAGAAATAAAAACAATGTTCTAAGATGCAATACTGGAAAACAATGAAATTCTACAATAATACTTTTAAAAGCTGCTTGGAAACAGAACTGTTATTTTTCTGCATTTGCTGATAGTTCATTGCTGTATGCCAGCTTTTAACAATTTGAAAGAGTTTACATCCCCTCTGCAAACCGAACATAGGTAGTCATTCATTTTCCCTTCCACTTCTGGCTTTTATATCAGTGAAAAATATAAGTATCAAAAAATTCTGGTAAGTATGACCAAACAAAATTCACTCATTCATTCACACTGAATGAGTAAGGCTGGAAGGAACCATGAGTCCAACCTGCCTACTCCAGCAGGGCCATCCTAGAGCACACAGCACAGGATTGCATTTGGACGGTTCTTGAGTATCCCCAGTGAGGGAGATTTCAGGTTAATAGCGTATAGAGAAGAACACAATACAAGAAAAACGAGGACAGATTTTGGTTTTTTATTTAGAAATATACAAGCTTACAGTATTCAAAAGGTAAAGGAAAGTGAGTTTACAAACTACAGTGATTAGACAGCTTTTAAAAGCATTCCCGAAACCTATCAGTTAAAGACCGAATTCTGAATGCCACCCTCTTTAATCACAGTCTGGCTTGAAAAGGACCTCGCAGAGTGCGGGGGCCACCGCGTGCAGCCCCGGCAGGGCCGAGTCCCTCGCCCCGGAGTCCGTAAGGCTCCCGGACCGCGCTGCCCGCGCACCCCAGGACCGGGACCGGGACCCCGGGACCCGGCGCCCCGCCCCGCCCCGCTCCGCCCGGCCCAGTCCCGGGGAGTCCCGGGCCCCGGCCCCGCCGCCTGGCACTGACCCGAGCGCCGCTTCCGCTTCCCGCGGGGAGGGCGGGGCCGCGCCTGCGCAAGGCGGCAGGGCGGGGCGTGCCCGTGAGGGGCCGAGCCGGGCCTGTGGAGGGGCCGGGCGGTGCCCTTGAGGGGCCGGGCCGTGCCTGTGAGGGGTCGGGCCGTGCCACTGGACTGGCTGGCGCTGGCAACCGCGTCTGTCCCCGCCCGCAGGCTGCGGTCCCTGGGCTTTGTACGGCTACAATGGGGTCGGAGGGGCTATTGTGCCCCCGAACAAACCCGGCCGGCACGGGGGGACGGGGCGGGGGACATGAAAGCGTCGCGCACCGAAATCGCTTCAAACCCCCCCGAATCGCACTCGGGAGATTTATGTCCCCCCGGACAGCGCGACCTTTGGCGGGGGGCGGGTTCGTTTTTAATTGGGCCGATTGCCAGCAGAGGGGAACCCCCGTTGTCTCCCGGGCCGCACGTTATCCCGGGATAACGCCCTGGGTGCGGGCCGGCAGCGAGACCCGCTCGCAGCCCGCCGGCAACAGGTGGGGACCTGAATAACTTCACATCTTTCCGGGAGGGGCAAGAGGGACACGGGGGAGCCCATGGGAAGATTAGATCAGATGTTATTGCCGGTGAAAAATTAAAGAGAGCGGTGCACTGGGGAGTGCAGATTAATATATTTGGTGACTCCGAGTGCACAAAGCCTCACCATTGTGGCTGTGTCTGAATGCCTGTGAATAGGACGGAGCATATGTGGCCTGTCACCGCAGGTGCCCACATCTGTTCGTCTCCGGGCAGATGCTCTCAGAAAAGGGGAGAGCATTTCCAAAAGCTCAGGCCCGCCCCATCCATACCCATCCTCTTTCTCATAATCACCTTCTGCAGAGTAGTTTTTGCCCGCACCTTCTCCTACCCCCTGCCTACCCTGAACACGGAGAGATGAAGAAAGAAATAAAAACTGCACAAATTGGAAGTGGCTTGGAAAGCTCTGGAAGCACGTAATCAAACTGCTGCCCCCTCTCCTCCCCCAAAGTTTATTAGCAGCAAGTTTTGCACTGCAGCCAGCGTACAGTGCACAAGATGCACACACTGTGCAAAGGGGGGGAACATAAAAACCCTTCATGCATGAAATGCAACACAGTGCAGCAGCACTCTGTGCTGTCACAGGGCTCTAGAGAGTGACCTGTGCTGGAGTGGCGGTTTGCAGCTACTATTTATAGTTGTGGCTTAAGATGATGTTTAATAATGCTGAGCAAAAGTTTTCCTACAAGAACTGGCAGAGACAGTGAATATTGCTACTGAAGTTGGTAGCAGAACGGGATCTTTCCAGCCATCCAACAGAATCTCGTAGCTGCTATGCAGAGCATGTTTTTGAGGAGTGCCATCCCATTTTTTATCACCTGTACACGATCTAAGTCCTATGGTTCACCCTCCCTCTGTGACCCTGCTGCCAAGACAAGCCAGGCCTCAGTGCTGCATGGGGTTGCACTGGCCTCGCTTTGCAGGGCAAAAGGGGTGCTGGGGTGCAGGATAAATATCAGGATCAAGGGATATTTAATGTGGTAAGGCACTTCAGAAGGTTTTCTAGTTCAGACATGTTCGGTGGCTTCTGATGTGGTGAAGACCTTGAGTATCCTTGAATTTAAAGGCAGGCAAAGATGCCGGCACTCCAAATGCAAGGCCGAGGTGCTTCCCAAGAGGGGCACAGGCAGGAAGAGCCTTTGAAACTGCGTGTCCCAGAGCAGGGGCAGGGGAAGGAATGGCACCTGCCCAGCTCAGGGCACCCACAGGAGGTTTCGGGAAAAGTTATGTCCCAGGCCGGGGTGGGTGAGGGGGGGGAACCCGAGGGCTAAGGGAGGGCAAGGAGGGGGGAAGCCTTATTTCCCCGAACCCCTTTTGTCCTGTCGTTCCCTGGGGGGTCCCGTGGTTCTGGCCGCCCGGGCGGAGGTAAGCAGCCCTTCACCCTTCCGACTTTGGGAGCAATGACAGCTCACGCACACGAGTGATCAATTTTATCCCTCTTAGTTTCCCACAAGCTAAATCCCGTCGGAAGCGAGCCAGGGAGCAAACCCAAACAAACAAGTAGCGCAGAGAAACGGGGCCGGGGCGGGGGGGAGGGGGTATCTGGCTTTCTCCTCGTGTGCAATCAGTAAAACACATATAGGGGCCACTTCGGGATTTGCCCAGGGAAGGGTTGGAGAGCAGCTGGCTGCGGTAATCTCCTCGGGAGACAAAGGAATGCCCCGTCCCCGGATCACAGGTAAACACACAACCATTGTAATGAAAATGAGGGGCTAGGATAGGGCCAGAGCAGATGATTTGCGATTTCAAAAAGGGGGCTGGGGGGAAGGGAAGACCCTGAGCTGCTTATCTATCATCTGGCCTCGCTGTGTGCCAGCTGAGCCACGCGACTGCCCTTTCTTATTCTAATCAGCACATGCCTTTGCAACTTTGGGCTAACCTACACGCTAAACTTCTTAATCCTCCTCCCCGCACACGGCAAGGGCGGCGGAGCGCCCGTCCGGCACCGCGGCCCCTCCGCGCCCGTCACGCAGCCGCCTCGGGTCGGGCGCCCGGCGGCGGGGCCCGGGGCAGCGCCAGCACCCCCGGTCACGCCGCCGAGCCCGGGGGAGCCGGAGACCCGGCCCTTCGGCACCCTGCCTGCCCTCCCCTCGCTCCCCATCCCCTCCCGCCCGGCACGGCACGGCCCGGCCCGGCCCGGAGGAACAGGTGAAGGGGCGTGCGGCGGAGGGGCAGCCGCGCACACATACCTCCGTAGGGACTAAAGATCTAATTAAAATATTATGCACACTCGACTACACATAGCTCCACACGTTCACGTCCCTCCGCCGGGGCACCGTTCGCCATATGCCCGGAGCCCTCCGTCCCGGGAAAAATCAGTGTTGCACGCCAGCGATGGCAGCGCGTCGCCCTAATTAATATACGCACATATCCCACCCACCCCCCTTTTGAAGTGACTTTTCCCATAATCTGGCTCCCTTAGAAATAAAAGCTGCGGCTGATGGGGAGCTCTCGGCCGCGCTGGTCCGCGGCGCGACCGTAAATACTCGCCGGAGCAGGAGAGGGGGCCGGCGTTGCGGGAAGGGTCTCAGTTAGGGGCAGGGAGGGAGAGCACAATGCCCCACCAGCCCCAGCGAGCCGCTGGCAGGCGGGGCCGGGCCCGCCGCGTCCCGGCCGTGCGGGGTCACCGCGCCCTGGCGGGGCCCCGCTCCCCGCGCCCGCCCCCGGGGGTCCCGCCGCCCGCTCACCCGAGGGGCGGGGGCGGCCGCGCAGGGCGCCGGGCGGGACGGGACGGGACGGGACCGGACCGGGCGGCCGTGCCCGGCAGCGGGGGCCGGTGGCGGTGCGCGGGCACGGCGAACAGCGCGGGGGCGGCGGGGGGCGGCGGGCGAGCGCGGTGCGGAGACACGCGGTTGGGAGCGAAAAAGCGCCATTTGGTTGGGAGCAGATGGCTGGCTGGGGGGCTGATCGCGTCTAAAGGCGTGTCATCCCCCTTCAGCGAGAATCCCTAAGGGCTCCCCTTGTCTTCGAAATCAATGAAAATTAAAGTGCAGAGAATGGATGAATAGTTAGACCTCGAGTCCCTCCTTTGTTCGCCTCAGCTACTGGTGGGCAGGAGTTAAACTACAACAGCCTCCTATAGAAACACTTAAGTTAAACAGTCTCCCCGTTAGTCCAGCATCTGAAAGAGAGAGGGAGAGGGGGGAAAAAAGCAGAAAAAGGAGCTTTCTGCTTGATTTCCCCAATACAGAATCGCGTGGCATAAATTAAGCCAGAGAAGAATGAGCGCCGTGGGCAGGATCCTGCCGGCTCTCACGGCGCCTTTCAGTCACGCTCAGCAGCGGTAATCGAGAAATCTGTGCCACGTCAATTTAACAAATACCCGGTACCGAAGGGGGGTTGTTAAGGATTTGGGGGCAAGTTTTTTCGGTTTGGTTTTTTTTTTCCCCATCGCTAGGTTAAAGCCCTCGCGCGTGTAACTTTTTATTTCCAGTTTTTTAAGCAAGGAGATGCTAATGGACCAACTTTCTATCTCTCGTAGATTAAAAGATCCGCGTTGATATATCACTTCTCGCCTCCGCCGACGGGCCACCACCCAAATTTCAAGAAAGATATTGCCGCTGACCCCCGCCCTCCCCGCCCTACTCGCTTAGTAAACCTCATACGAAGTGATGTTTCCCCCCTCTCTCTTTTTCCCGGGGATAACGCCGCAGCAAAGTTTGCGAAGCAGCGACAAGCCACTTGAAAAGATGTTGACGCTAGGTGGCAAAAGCAATGTGCAGTGGAGACCGGCGCTGCGGCGGGATGCGCGCCCCCGCTCCCCGCTGCTGAGGGCGGGCACGGCGGGGGCGGGCGGCCGGGCCTCCGGGGACCCGCTCCGCTCCCTCCTGGGCCGCTTCCCTACGTCCTCTCACCATGCCTGCGGGATCGTGGTCACCCCTCTGCCCAGACACAACTCCGGGGTAAAAAAGAAAAAAAAAAATCAAACCCAAACATTCCTGTACATTTTAAACTTTTGCTTATGCGTCGAGGGGCGGGGAGAGGTGAGAGGAAACGCACCTGGGTGTAGATGGCTCGTTTGACTACAATTTGTTGTAAAGGATGTATGCTGAGTAGCAAAATGTTGCCAAGATCTGGATGCTTGTACCAAGGGTTGGAGTAGGTGGCCTGGGTTTGGGGTAGGTGCCACAATCCTCCAGTAAATGAATGTGGGCAGCTACAGTCCTGGAACAGTCAAGAAGAGCTGGGCTGAATGAACTCATTAGTGATTTTCTTTTAATTGGTATTACTCAATGCTTTTACTTTAAGAAGTCTTTAAGATTTTTTTTTTCCTAGCGCATTGTAAGATAATTTGTGATCAAGACATCTGCTTCAATGGAAGCCACATTTTGCCATGCAAATGCACGTTTCAACCCAATAAAGTCGCCATAATAAGGCTTTTAGCACGGCATACCTACAGTGAGGTTATTGTAGCCAAATCCTCTCCTTTCGCACACAAGCTTAATCTGTGTTGAAATGATCTGTTACAATTAAAATGACATTTACAGAGACAGTTACACCTTGCATCCTAATGAATCCGCCTGCGCCTACCAAAGGTGTTTAAACAGAGGGCCTAAACAAAGTGGAAAACCCTGCTTCGAGTGACATGCCAGGGTTGCCCTCCAACTTTTATCCCCTGCTTCCATCCATCATTAAGAAGTAGCCCAAATGGTAACAGTCTCTATCCCTTTTTCACCGCACCAGTAAACTCTTTTCCATATTTTAAGGATCAAAACAAAAGTTGTACTGTCTAATGGGCACGTAAAAAATTATAAAGGTGACGACTGGTGTAAATTCGGGCTAGTTTATTTTGTGCGCATATGTGAGTGTGTGTGTATGTGTGTTGCGGAGGGGGGAAGTGCTGGAAGGGATTTCTTTAAAAAATGTGCGGACATTGTTGTAGAGGCAGTAGCGTGCGCCGAGGGGAGCTCTTTCTCTCCCTCGCATTGTGCAGGGAGCAGGTGCTGTCTACATTACCATACAGCTGAGAGCACAAAGAGCTAACTGATTCAGCCCTCACACAATAACAAACGGCCTTAATGACAGCCACGCGAACGACACACACCAAACTCACTTTTTACTAAGCTGAAGGACGAAAAAAGAGAGAGGGGGAGAGAGAGAGACGGAGAGGGAGAGGTTGCTGGTGATGATGATAATAATCATAGAGGGGTGCGGGACCCGGGCGCAGCGAGCGGCTCTCTCCGGCAGC